CTTTTGATCTCAAACAGCTAAAATGTGTGATTATCCACTGTAGTCACTAGAATTAACAGTAAATTATTGTAGGCTATTTCTAAAAACTCAAATGCCTCCTCAAAAGAGGGGAAAAAAATCACATACTGATTTGCATATGTTGCTGATTCTGTAAAGGCAACTCCAAAAAAGGGTTCCAAATACATTTTGAGCAGTTGCGACATTATATGATAAACATTATATATAAAACTATCCAGTTTTCCATGATAACTGCACTAAAGGACATTATATAATAAACATTATATAAAAAACTGTTCAGTTTTCCATAACTGCACTAAAGGACAACCTTCATTCTGTATGCCTACTTCCAGGCGTCTTGGTTCAGTCCTTTGGAGTACATTTATATGTCCTGTAAACACACAGGAATCTGTCTCTTTCCAAGGGCAGATTTGTACACTGAAATCAATCAAATAGGACAATATTCCAAAACCCTACATTGGAAATATCCAAGAATATGCAAGATTTCTTTTGGCTGTTTATCTATGAACTCCACTCTAAAATTCATAGTTATGTTTCTTCTTACCATTCCTCAGAAAAGTCTTCAGTGTTATGAGTGGCCCCTTCCAGTGAAGTTCAAGTACTACACAGTGGCTGTGTGCACAGGCTTAGGAGCCAGAATGTCTAGGTTCAGGCCTTTATTTTACCACTTTTAAGCTGTTCCTTCTTGGACAAGGCACTTGATCTCTCTTTGCCTCTGCTTATTCCACTATAAAATGGGACTTACTATAGGAATTTTCTCATAAGGCTGTTGCAAGTCATCAAAGTGAAAAGCTCAGCACACTGCCTGGCACTCCGAAAGTACTCAGTACTCAGTACATGTCAGCTGTTCTTAGGTCCGATGGCCTCTTTATGATTCTCACTCTCAGTCCTTCGATGAGTCTAACAATTGCCAAGTTATTTCTTGAACTCCTTTTTGTTTTTTTGGCTCAGCGATCTCCTGGTTCTCTTGCTCCTCTTTATGTTTTGTGTCTCTTTGTTTCTCTTCTTCCCTAAGCCTACTCATCATCACACTCCACCCCCCATGTTCAGGTCTCTCTTCATCATTCTTCTCCTTTTTGTCATGACCCTGAGAAGTCTCATCCACTCATATGATTCACTGTGTTTAATACAAGAGCATTTAACAAGATTTTAAATGTGCATTCTGAGGCAAGATGGCAAGACAAAGTGATTCCACATTTTTTTTGTTAGCAGTAACTATGGCAATGTACAACTAGCTTGTGTTGCCATTGCCAAAACAGGCACTGACCTCACTTCAATAATCTGATAACAAATGCTAACATACAGTACCCCTGAGCTAAGACAATGATTAAGCTCTACCAGTTGCTCAAGGCTCAAGCAGAGAGAAGGCAAAGGGTGGGGGTAGGAGGCAACAAGAAAACCACAAATGTGAGAGAAGGAAAAATTTTAAAAACTTGGGGTTAAAAAAAATAAAGAGATGCAATCTTTGACAGAGAAAGCAGCAGGAGGTGGCAAACTTGAATGCCCCCAAGGGCTAGTACGTAAGCTAAATGAATAAACTTGAGCAAGATCTGACAATAGGCAGTGGTGGGGACTATGACAAACTAGAAGATGTACTTAAGGATATTCCTATTCAGCTTTTAAAAAGTAGACATCGCAGGCCAAATAAGCCACAGCTTTCTGTTTTTTGTCCTCTGGGTGTAGAGAAACAATGGTAATGGCAATGGTAAAATATATCATTGCTACCTGCCCATTGGGAATGAGGCTGGCTGGCAGAGACTTTTTTTTAAACAAACTTATCTTAATGGGAAAAAGCTGCAAGTAAGACAAATTTGCTTTATAATCTTATTACATTGTTACATGACTGTTATGATTCATAATTCAAGCATGGATCTGCTGCTCCTCTTCATCACAAACCAAAATACTATGTTCAAGGATGATTACGATTTACTTGCTGGCTTAATGTGATACAAATCCTGCCAGTATGACCCCCAAAGGTCTATTTCACACTCACAGTGAGTCTCTGAGGTAGTTACTAATGTATAAAAGTTCCAAGATCTCCCAGGAACAAAGATCTTTATCCTGAAAAGTACTTATAACTGACATTCTAAATGTTCCCTTACGTGTGCGTTACATCATGACAAGAGGTTTTTGTTTGTGTTTTTACTGCCACTTAGTTTTGATCAAAACATACTTTCTTTTCGCATCCCTGTTGACTGAAAAATGACAGTCATGTGGCCCTGAAAGATCATTCTTCTGAAAGATGGGACCAAATTCAATTAGGTATCAACACTGTGATCAGCTCTGTTTAGCATGAAACCAATGAAACCGATATTCAGGATTGTTGTTGGCCAACAGCAATTATTTCCAGGAGATACGTGTTCATATCCAATCATTATATCTCCAGGTTTTCTGATGCTATTAAATGAATCCAGTTCAACATCTATCGGCCATGTACTGTGCATCAAGCAGTAAGGCTGGAATTAAGATGATGATGAAACTGTAGTTGCTTCTGAAAATTTATGCTTTAGTGAGGGAGATCAGAAACTTACTGTTTTGACTTAATGTGGTAAATGGTATAAAAAGAGATGTGGAGAGAGTACTAAGGAAAAATGTAGATGAAGAGAGAAAGGAAAGTAATAAAGGCCTCCTGGGTGTTGATTTTTAAAAATAAAACATCACATCCCAATTAAAACAGAATACAATCAATGGAGGTACTTATCCAGTAATAAGTACCTCAATAAGTATACTAACCCACCATCAGAAATCACACTGAATACTTTTCCACACTTCAGGATGGATCTGTCCTGACTCAGTGCCACGTTTTTATTCATCACTCTTGAAATCACAAACATACATTTAAGTAAGAGGATCTACTGTCTCTAATTCTTTAAAGAGGTAAGCAGATGACTTTCATAAGAGCAGAAAACAGTGAAGACTCCACAAATGGAAAAAGAAATCTGAAATAAAAAAGACTCCCTTTCCCTGTGTGGTATGGGAAAGACGCTTATGTTTTCCTTCTCCCATCGAAGCTCTGGGACTGTACCCATGGGTAAAACAGGCAGTGGGTAATGACTAAGTCTCTCTTCTGCTCCCCAATCTCCACTACCACAAATGCCTGAAAATCTGCCACTTGGGGATGAATCTGATTTTGAAAATCACCACTGGGAAAATATTTACAACTTAGTGCAGATTTCAGGATAGCCCTTTTTCCTGAATGGGAGCAGCTGAAGACACCCCAAAACTTGGAGAAAACTCTGAGTAATATGCCAGTTTTGATTAGTAGCTTAGTAATTTAACCCATTCAGGACATTTCTTAATCTTGGGCAAAGATCAAATCTTCGAAGAAATCACTGTGGAATGGTTCAATATCCTGCCCTTTATTTTAGACTGTATTATCAACAATATCTGAACTATGAGCATCAATAGTCTTTGCAGCAAATCCTCAACCACTTTGTTAAAATGGTTACAGGAAAAATATTACAGGTAAAATGCCCTGTAACTTCATCTTATTAGTGATTTTTCTAAAACAAATTAAGCCCAGCATTATCATCTGAGAAGTTATTTCCACATTCCACTCCACAAGCTACACGTTAACAATTTTAATCTCCTACAAATTCATTGATTAAGTAACAAGGACACAGAAGGATACTACCTAGTAGAAATAGTTTTTAGTACTCTGGACCATTATAAATAATTATTAGCCAATTAAAAAAAATCTGTGCAAGTTGTAAAGAGAAGCAGTTTAAGGAGGGACTCCTAAAGGATATCAACATGCAATATAAAGGTTTATTATGCATCACACATCAATACCATGCAGTGGCCCTATCAATAGAGATACAATATAATTTATCTAGTAATCAAAATAATCACCCCAGAGTTTCTTGCTAAAATGAATATTATTGCCTTATTAGCAAATAACTAAATTTAGATAAACTTATAAAAATAGACAGAAAATAAAAAATTTCTCACAAACCACTCTCTGCTCTTTGCTTCCCTCCAGTATATGTTTTAAATGACACATTCAACATCTGCTACTGAATCTTTACTTTCCATCCTAGAATTAGATCTCTATACAACTTTGACTAAAAGAGATTATTGCAGTTTAAAAGTCCATGCAGATTTTCAATTACAGTTTTATGTAACATAAATCTTCTAAACTTTCATTATAAAACTAGGGATGATGAGAAAAAAGCTATAAATGTAGAGACAAGATGATTAATAAGACCAAAACTTAAGAATATTACATATCCACATAGATCTCAATATCATATTTGCATTTTCAGGTAGGCAAATCAGGTAGAATGCTTCTTTTAATTAAGAGCAGCAGTAAGCGTTAGACTTGAAGAACACATATTCAAATTAAAGGTTTATTATGTATGTGGCCTTGGGGACATCCCTGGACCTCTTTGTGCCTTGATCTTCTCATATGCAAAAGTAAGGATGATTTTACACACTCTAATAGACTGCAATGACTACTAAATAAACCATCTACACAAAGCAGTTTCTCAGCAGACACTCAACATATGTATGGTGAGTTCTGAATGCTGAGCTTGTACACCTCTACAGCCCCCAACAGTTCCAACAGATCTTTAGGTGTGCTTTTCATACAGAACTTCTCCCTTTCCATACATATGTTTTATTGAGACCAGTTCTTTAATTCATAGCATAATTGAGAGCTTAATCCTTACCCTTACAGAAAGTTCTCTTCTTTTTATGCTGATGCCAACTGGTAATTATGTATATGCTCATAACTGAGTACCACCAAATTAGCAAATATGGGAATTTAGGTAAACTTTCACTGGCAAACATTGCTGAATATCATGCATAGATTCAGAGCTACTGTCTTGTCATCCTAGGGACCTTCCCAATGGCAGTTCAGAAATCCCCTCAAAGCTCAGCAAAACTCACGAAGTAGCCAAGTAAACCCAATGTCTGTGCAAATTAATAACAGCTTTAGGTATCAGCATGTCTTTATGCAAAAGATTTTAAAAAACCATTACCTCTTTCACACTGGGGTCCTGTAAAGCCGTAAGTGCATGCACATCGATTTGGGGCCACACACCTTCCTCCATTGAGACAGCCACTTTCACAAACAGCTGTAAAATAAGGAGAGAACTGAGAAGTTTTACCCGAAAATAAATGCTAATGAAGTAACACTTGCGGTCCCCTGGAAGGACAACAATAAAATATCTAATGTCACCCTGGTGTTTGTTTTGAACGGTCACTCTATAGTTACATATCCTCAGATGTTCCTCAGTCAGAATAGATGAGTTTGTATCTGTGTTAATGCTGTCTATTCTGTGAAGCATCAGAGCAATGCTTTCAGTTCTACGTCAAAAACAGTAGTTTCTAAGACATGTCACTGGTTGGGAACTGTGTGTTAGCAAACATTCTTTGGCTTACGATTTATGTTTAATTTCAACAGGGCTCCCATAAGCGGAAATATCAGCCCCTCTGATGTCACCCTTACAGAAATGTAGCATGTTAAATTGCACAATTAACTTCAAACAACAAAAGACTAATAATGATCTTCAGTAATTTAGGTACCATAACGAAAGTCCAGTTGAGAGTTTTAACAGAACCTATGGAAACTATTGGTGCAATGAGGTCTAGAGATGTTTGAGGGCAGGCTATTTTGCTTTCTAGAAGAGACATTAAAATAGGAATTGAAAGTTCATGTGCTGAACAACTCCTCTTTGTACAATTTCCTGTAACTCGCACATGCATGGCCTCTTTCTAGACATCTTCATCATAAGTGGTAGGCTCTTCTCTGCCAAATACGGCAGTCCCACACACTCTTCAAAGCTCAGCTGAAATCTCACTGCTCCATGAGGCTCCCCCAATACCTCCATTCAAATTCCTTCCTCCTTATATATTTTCTATACATTTTTCCATCCATTACCCCATAGCAGTTATGAAGTTGAGCCACTAATACTACCCCTCAAGAGAATCGCCTGAAAGGAGTTTAGCTGGCAGACAGCTTCCAGCTGCTGTACCTTCAGATCTGCTGTGGTGTTCATATCAAGGACATGCTCATGGCCAACGACTGAACACAGCACTAGGATACTAAAGCCTGGCCATTTCTACCCATCACGGAACTCTCTGATGGGCACTTTTTGCTCTGGGTTCTCCATCAGCCTGGCCAAGGCTTTTTTTGGAGCTACACTACAGACTGAAGTTCCTTCTATGCAATTGTCCTTCCTTCCCTCCCTCCTTGCACAGGGTCAGGCAGGCATCATGGTCTAAAGACCATTCCCTCCTACTTCAGCTTCCTCTTTCCTTTATTCTTCACAGGACTTTTTCCCAATAAATCTTTTATGTCTAATTCTGTCCTGTTATTTTCTTGGCATAAAAGGACCTGAACTGACACAACTCTTTTTAGCCAAAAATTATGGCAGGAGTCCATTGCTCATCATATAATCAGAGAGGTTTATGTAAATTAATTGTCTTCTTTGTCTCTTGATTTATAGTTAGGGAGAATGAAGAGCTTTTAAACAGAAAAGAAATTTTGAGTTTGCCTAAGTCAACCCTCCCAGTTTACAGATGAGGAAGCTGAAGTTTAGGAGAAGTGTTTAATTCTGCCAGGGTTAATTAAGCACTTGGGTGTTGGGGTTTGGCTAAACTCTCTCAGGAAGCACCAAGGGGCACTGGAGAGATGCCCAGCAGCCCCTCTGGTTCTCCTGGAATGCCTCTAATCCAGCCCCATCTCGCCCTCTCACAACCACAGCCTTCGTTAGGACTTGTCTTTCTGCTCCTGCTTTGTCCTCCTCCAGCTGCACTTCCACACTGTGATCGTTCTCCCTGTAAACCTTCGTAAGTGAAGAGTACTAAGGTTGATATTTCACAGCAGTAAACATATGGGCTATGAAGACAGACTGCTTGGGTTCCAACTCCAACTCTGCCGATTACCATCTATATTCCCTTAGAAGAACTACTGAAGTCCCTGTGGTCCAGTTCCCTCATCTTCTACAGGGTAACATTCATGCCCTCTAACACAAAGGGTTGTTTTCATATTAAATGAGTTAACACACACAGAGTTTTAAAATGTGCCTAGCACACAGTAAGCACAGAGTAACTCAAAAGACGTATGTTGTTGATGTTGTTAGTGTGTTTTCTTTGTTGCAGTCTCACTCCTCTTTCCTGGCCTTACTTTGGAAGAAAACATAGTATGCATAAAGGCATCAAAACCTGGCCCATGACATCCTATCTGACCTCACTTCCTTTCCCATCACTCCCTTATACACTTAAGCTCCAGCAATACCAAAGCACTTGCTATGTCCCATATGCCATGCTGTGTCTTGTGCTGGTGCTATGTTCATGCTCTACCATCTGCCCAAAAGGCCCATTCCCCATCACCTGAGAGGTAAACTCCTACCCATCCCTCAACACTCAGCCCAAGAATCACCCACACTGGCGAACCTGTCCTGCCTCTCCCTTCTCCATGCTGGGGTACACAGAAATCAATCAATATTCTTCTCCTACTGCAATGTATGGATGGTGATATGGTTTGGCTATGTCCCCAGCTGAATATCATCTTGAATTCTCATGTGTTGTGGGGGGGACTTAGTTGGAAGTAACTGAATCATGGGGGCTCTTTCTCATGCTGGTCTCAGGATCGTAAGTCTCACAAGATGATGGTTATTATAAGGGGGAGTTGTCCTACACAAGGTCTTTTTGCCTGCTGCCCTCCTTGTAAGACGTGCCTTGTTGCTCCTTGTCTTACGCCATGACTGTGAAGGCTCCCCAGCCATGTGGAACTCTAAGTCCAATAAACCTCTTTCTTTTTGTAAATTGCCCAGTCTTGGGTATGTCTTTATCAGCGGCATGAAAACAAACTAATACAAATGGTCACTAGGGAATCCTACACATTTTTGTTTATTTATAATAACATTATTAATCTTAAAAAAGGAAGAATTAGAAGCACCAAAAGCAAAAATTAGAAGCACCCTGAATAATGCTCATCATTAAGAATGTATTAAATAAACAGTAAAACGTCCACGTAATAAAGTATTAGGCAACCATTAAAATGTATTTTAAAATGTGTAATAACATGAGTATACTTTGAATAAAATATTAAGTGAAAAAGTGGTATGAAAAACTATATATACAGTAAGAACTCAAGTACCAAATATGCATTACAAGTCTAGAAGATAGTATCTGGAATGATGAAATCATGAATAATTTTATTTTTTTATAGTTTTAAACTTTTACAAATTTTCCGTAGGGTATATATGTTCATCTTAAAGTAACAAAGAAAATAAGCTTTTTATAAAGAATGTTCATCTTCTGCAAAGCACGGGGACTCGTGGAAAGCAGACACAATAAACGGTGTGTACAAATGAACCACCAAACTGAACACTACATAATAAGTACTTCAGTAGCAGAATCTAGATTGAGAAATGAGAGGGATGTGTATACCATTAATCAAGAGAAAGGACCTGTTCAGAGAAAATGATGGGGCTGAGTTTTGAAACATTTTATTTGAGAAGCTTCCTGAAAATCCAATTGTTGAAGTTTGGCAATAGAGTGGAAGGTATCTGCCTGGAATGAACAAGAATTCTGCTCCTCTAGTGGTGACTAGAAATCAAGATCAGGCAAGCAGGGTAGTAAAGGTAAATAAGAGGAAAATGAATTAAACCACCTGTTGCCAGCATTCCAATTGGAAATTTGGTAGCAAGTGTTCTGAGTAAGTGATTTGTTCATCTGTAAAGGTCACTAGACACTTGTAAAAATGCTGTGTCCCAGGTAATCAAAGAACATCAGCACTTATTTCTTTATTCTCCTTCTCTCCAAACAGGTTAACATCTAGAATATGTATAACTGTGGTGTACTTACGTTGTCCGCAGTGAGTCCCTATGTATCCTTTCTGGCACAGACAGTGATCGTCACTGCAGCTACCTCCATTCAAACAGCGAATGCTGCAGTGTTGTACTTGAAAAAAAAGAAGAAAAATTCAGTTTTGCAACTTAATGCATAGATTGCAACAGCTCACAGGAATTGATTTGTAGTTATTTAAAGAGAAAATCAAATAGTTTATCAGGATTCATCCAGTTTTACCCAGTAATTGAGACCTAATTGAGAATGCTAAACATAGTATTAGTTGTTTGTATAAAATCATTTACCATGCAATGTACTGTAATTGTTTCTTTGGCATTCACTTTAATAGTGCTAAATGACTTTTTAAATTTAACAGAACTTACAAATCAATATCATTTTTGTAATTTATACCAACAAGAAAGTATTGCCTTGAGTAATCATGTGAGACAAGATTATGACGGCAATAATTTTCCCATGAAAAGATTTAGCATCCCAGGTAGGTGGCGCATGGGAACAGTTAAGAGTAGCAAATTCCACAGAATTTTGTTAAAAGAAATTTTAGAGGCAGAGTAGAGAAAATAGAAAATACCTAGAAAGGCATTTAATAACAAGACTGCCTGATGACAGGGACAGCTGGATTTGTCTGAGAAAGAGCTGCTTGTTTAAACTTTAACCTCGAACTAAGTAAGATCCCCATTTTCACCTACAGGAGTGTACATTTCAGGGTCCAGAGTAGAAAGACCATGGGCTGACAGCCTTAGACCCCAGACAATGAGACACCTGAAGAGGCTGGAGTAACAGACAGCCACAGGCTCCATGGTGAGCAAGAACAACAGCGCAGGCACGTCCTCTCATTTCTCCAGTGTTCAGGCTTTCTCTAGGTCAGTAATTTAAGTATGCTACCAGCACTTCCAAAATTCTAGGCTACTTCCTAGTTCAAGGATTGACTGAATTATTCATTAATCCCTGTAGATGCCTGCCTACACGTAGAGGCCAGGATTGGGCATTGGAGGCTTGGCTTATTCTGTCTGGTCCTCCAAGTTGTGGGAATAAATTTCCAGGGAAAAAATGTTTAATACTTTTAGCTAAGGAGAAGAGAATATCTTCTTTCTACACAAAAGCAGAAATCTGCTGTTTATGCTCACTCTTCCTGAAGCACAGAGGCCAAATCTCTCCAGAACAAACAGAAGATTCCACCCACAGCCACCCCGTTCATTACCCCTCATTAGGAAGCCTCAGCCATGGTATTGCAAAGTGGCTACTTGACTTCAGGAGAAAGGGACAATTTTTATAAGGAGCTACACAAATCGCAGCCTGATAATAGGGAAGGAAAATGCAGAATGCCGTATCTACTATACCCTTTCACAGCATGAAGAAGTCGAGTTGAAAGTTAAATGCCTTTTCAAGGACATGCCACAAGAACATGCCACACACTGAAACACCATCGAAGGCCTGTTTCTATTGAACTAGGGCCACCTCCATCTCTCAGCATTCACAGCCTCCTCAGCATGGCCCCAGGTGTTTTTCAGGGCTCCTCAGCACATTCCTAATATGTCCTATGATTCCATCTCCTGATCTACTTATCAGTCATTCATTCACTCAACAAATATTTCTGAGTGCCTACTGTGTGCCATGCAAAACACCCAGCACTTTCCTTTTCCCTCTGTAGAACCCCCTCCCTAACCTGCCTCCTGTCTCCTTGCCCCTAACTCCTAAACCCAACACAAAACGCACACAGTTCTTCCCCAAACCTGAAATCCTATCTCCAAGACCCATTTCAAATATTGCTTTTTTCCCTTGATCTTTTCTGATACCTCCCAAACAAAATGTGAGCCCTCTCTCCTTTCTAATAACTTTATATTTCTCTTTTGAAGCATATATTACATAATCCAGCCCATTTTTCGTTCTTTCTCTCCACCCCATTTGTTTAAAAACTTCTCACGAGTGGGAAGTTTCATGAGAATTAATTATGCAATATCCCCATAAGTCCCTAGAGTAGCACTTTGCTTATATGTAAGTGCTGTATAAAACTATGCTAAATTTTTATTTACTTAACTCATGCTGCCTGATACTGACGTCAAAAGCTATATCCAACGACCCAACTGAGACTTAGAAGATGTCCATTGTGTCCTAAGCACTTTTACAGCTCTACTAAGTAGGTTGCTATTAAAAATATTTTTATCTTTGTTTCCGCATGTATAAAAGCAGAAATAACTCCTTTGTTGGAGCATTAAAATCAAACAACCTCGGAAACTGATTAAAACAGTTATTTTAGGCTCTTATGATTCCATTAAAACATCTCAGCCAAAATGCTGTTTTAACTAAAAAGCTATCTATAAGTAGTATACAAAGAAAAAAATGATTTAGTGAAAACTTTGAATAATATTCTAAGTAGGTCAGGAAAAGGTGTATAGTTGCTTTAAAATTTGAAGTTAAACTTAGCTTCATCCTATCTTACAAAAACAGTGAAGATTGGGAAAAGCACAGGAAATGATGTCATCTGTCAAGCAGCATAGGAACTCAGCCTTCAAACTGATTTCAATTAAAGCAGTCCCTGCCAAGAGCTAATTTCCATTCCCACATGAGCAACAAAGCCATTTAACTACTTTGAGATAAAAAAGCTAACAGTAGTTTAAATAGTGGCTTTACATTATTTGTTCAAGTTGAAAATCAGAATGAATTCTTCTTTCTGGCAAGAATGATAAGTTTACATTTAAATGCAATATAATAAAATCCTCCCTGATATGTATTTTTTAACCCTGTCTTTCAGGCAAACCTTTACCAGCATAAAATATTCTTTCTTCTTTAAAAAATAAAAGCAGTCATTCAGACTTGTGAAACAAGAAGACATGGTGAGTCCAGTGACCCACACAAACCAAGGAACCATGCATGAATCCTTGGGAGAAGCCGGGAGGAAGCAGGGTCAGCATAGATAATATGCTCTGAATCACCTGCTCTGCCACCATGTTTACCATGGGAAACTGTATTCGTTGTGAGTCTTAGATCTTTAGCGGGGGAAAGCATTCCGATAAAGGTGGGAGTAATCGCTCAGGATTTCTGTGGGGAAATAAAGGAACTAGAGGAAACAGTTTACAGAGAATATATACCCAAATTAGTTTTCTTTTGTATTAAGTCCTGCCATTGATGCATATTCTACATTTGCTCTGATTTGAACAAGAGTTCCAGATGTGTCATAATGAAGAGACCAAGTTCTACATCTCTTAAAAAAGCCAAATGAAAACTAGGGGTTCCTCCTATACCCATAATGATGCTATATTCTTTTCTGGATACACTGAGTACCCCAAGTCAGAAGAATTGTTAAACTCAGAAACTGAAAAAACTAGGAGAATCAGAGTGCACCGATCCTGCCACATGCAGTGAACCCTGAGAGTCCTAAAGCCACAGTGAGGACCTGCCCTTGAAGGTGAGCAGACAGCCTTAAAGGGTTTCATGTAAGGCTCAATATCCCAGAGCTAACAGAAAATGTTGCCACTTTCCCATACCCATAAAAGATTCCAAATTAATTTTGTGTTCATATCAGACGTCAGTGCGTCATTTTAGTCATTCAACAGTGAGTTCCTGAACGTCTTTCATTTGATAGCATTGGCCAGGAAGAACATAAGAATTTTCTTTAGATTACAGCCCAGTACAGATTAGTTCTTAAATGATTCATCAGAAGAGAACAATGTGAATGAGAGAGAGGCAAGGCTGGCATTTGGATCCAAATACCTCAGGTAATGATTTTCTTTGGGATGCATTAGGTTTGGAATGATTCTAAAGACCTGCCATCATCTTGGCAGGCACAACTGGCAGAAAGAACACTGAGAGCAATTTGCACATAAGCATTTGTATGGTGAACATGTGATTTTAATTTAGGCACTAGGAAAAGCATAGACAGACAAATTAAACAGCTAGACTAACTTCTGGACTCGACACCTGAGACAACAGTCCACAGTGACAATCAGAGTCACTGCAGGACAAAAACAATGTTCATTTAGAGAGATAACAGCAATGGCATTTCCCTTAAGTAAACAGATGTCTGGGGATGCCTAAAGACCCACAGCTGGGAAGGGAAACTTCACTAAAATTCTCAAAAAAAATCTAGCCAAGCTGGAAAAGCTCCAAGTTAAATGACAGCAGTGATAAAGGTGCTTCCATAAAGGGCAGACTAGGAAGCAAAGAATTCAACCATTTCCAAGGACAAGTCTGAGTAGATTCCATGCATGCCTCTCCTCCCAGTTCATATAAATCCCACACTTCGCAGAAAAGCTTTCTGAAGGAGGACTTCATCCAGAGTAGCTATAGTACTACCTTCCCTTCCTCTGAACGTCCCCCAACTTTCGGGATTTGGTTACACCACACTCCCTCAAACTTGCTGACACACTGGTCCAAAATTGTTCTGCTGGCCTTCTTATACCCTTAGAGCTCAGATTAGTGTTGGAGTATAAATGCCCCAAACTCTCAATGAATTGAAGTAAATTAAATGAGAAAATGTGCTCCAAGTATAAGGGGTTTGATCCAAGTATAAGGGGCCTCAAGTTGATATATAGGTTTGACACCTATATATCTATCAAATTTCTATCAAAATCCTAAAAGGTTTGTAAATGTAGACAAGATTAATCTACGGTTTTTACAGAAAGGAACTAGAATAGCTAAAACAAAAAAGGATAAGGTGGGAGAAATCTGTCTACCCATCCTGGGCAACAGAGCAAGACCCTGTCTCAAAAAATAAGTAAATAAAACTATGAAACTATTAGAAAAAAGTTGGAGAAAATCTTCAGAATCTAGGAGTAGACAAAGCATTCCTAGACTTGACAATGAAAGCATGATCCAATCAAGGGAGAGTTGATAAATCAGACTTAAATTTGAAAACATCTGCTCTATGAAAGATCCCATTAAAAATATTAAAAAGCAAGCTATAGAGTGTGATAAAATGCCTGCAAATCACATATCTGACAAAGAGCTAGTATTTCGAGTATATAAAGATTTCTCAAAACTCAGTGATGAAATAATAAACAATTCAGTTAGTGTCTGGACAAAGAGGCCAGGCGTGGTGGCTCTTGCCTATATTCCCAACACTTTGAGAGGCCAAGGCATGAGGATTGCTTGAACTCAGGAGTTCGAGATCTGCAACATGGCAAAACCCTGTCCCGACCAAAAATATAAAAAACTTAGTGGGGCATGGCGGTGCACCCCTGTAGTCTCAGCTACTCAGGAGGCTGAGGTGGGAGGATCAATTGAGCCTGGGAGGCGGAGGTTGCAGTGAGCCAAGATCGCGCTGCTGTACTCCAACCTAGGTGACAGAGTGATACCCCATCTCAAAAACAATATTTACTTAAAACTAAGAATCTGGACAAAAGACGTGAAGAGACCCTTCACTGAAGAAGATACACCGATGGCAATAAGCACATAAAAAAGACGTGCTTATTATGCATACGCATACATATATGAACATATATGTACATATGCTATTGTCTAAATGTTTTTGTCGCCACAAAATTCATATGTTGAAACTTAGTCCCTAATGGGAGAGCATGGAGCAGTGAGGCCTTTGGGGAGGTGATTAAGTCATGCAGGGACAGCCCTCATGAAAGGATTAGTAGCCTTATAAAAAAAGGCCTGGGAGACCTGTTTGCCCCTTCCACCATGTGAGGACACACAGAAGGCACCATCTAGGAGGAACAGGCCTTCACCAGGCAGGCAATCTGCTGGCCTCTTGATCTCGGACTTCCCAGCCTCTAGAACTGCTAAAAAATACATTTTTATTGTTTATAAATTACCCAGTCTATAGTGTTTTATTATAGCAGCCCAAACTGACTAATATATATGTCAAATTATAGAGTTTATTAATCCCAGTGTTACAAGCTAATATATATCTGTGTGTGTATATACACATATAAGAAGAATGAGTAAATTCATGTATCAGTAAACCATAATAGCTCTATATTACAATTAGGATTCCTCAAATTCCATTTCTAACCACAGAGACTGACACAGCAAAGAACAGTCCTAAAGAGGGCTGGAATTAAAGTCTAGAAAAACTACTGTTTTGACCTTGTCTAGCTAATCATGCTTTTGGTGCTGAATGACGAATGTCACGAGTTCCACCAGCACTGAGGGAAGCCACAACTTCCTGTTGTCCAAGAGAATCACTGGCAGGTACTTTGAACCTTCTGGAAATGCAATCTCTCATTCAGGTCACTAAGAGATCATTTTCTATTCTCAGAGTTACATGACCCTCAAGTCAAAAACCACCTGAAAGAACAACACTCCTTCCATTCTGTTCATATTTAAGTGGGAAAATTAAGACTTTCTGAAGTCCCACCACTTGCCCAGACCCCCTTGATCCCTATCACATAATTAGTATTAAATTTTTCATAGGAAAAATTGGTGCAGTGATCTAAAATGACCCTTTCTGGTAGAACCACTTGAAGTGAATGCAAACATTTCACTGAGTAGAATTGTCCTTCTCTTAGCAGGGAAGTTGGCAAAGTGATCAGGATGTTCCATGGAATGGCACAGCTCTTCCCTAGAACATCACTCCAAAAGAGGAGAAATGAATTCTGATCGTCCCTAGCTACCCTTAATATTTTGCTGTCTTTAATTCTGCACATCGTTTAGACAAACCCAACAATTTTAAAGATTTCAAATACCCCCAAAGATCCTGGTGAAACCAGAACCTCCTCCTTACACTACCCTCATCCACAAGCTACCTGGGGACTTTGTCCAACGTCCAGGTACCACAGATATGACTGAAACGTCCTCAGAAAGCACCACCCACAGTCTTGGATTTTAGTCTCCCGACTAAATCCGGCCTCGGGACCTTACTCCTATACTCCTCGCACCCCACAGTTAGCTTGGATTCTGCCAGGCACCTGGCTTTTCCCTCTGGTCTTGTTAACATCCTGTCTCCACATCTCATGATTCCTACTCAATAGATAAGTCATTATCAGTCACACTATCTCAGCTTCATACCCAGTTTTACCATCTGGCTATACTTCTGCCCCCAGAAGAGTACAGTGTTGTTAGTTGGTTCAGGACCAATCTGAGAGATGAGGTCTATTCCCAACTTTATTACTGCATTTTTTTTTCCAAGCCTGAGATGCTTAGGCCTCAGTGGCATCCCGGAAGCCACCCTTATAGAGAAGAGGATGCCCAACATGTTCCCAGATGTGCTGCCGGCTGGCTTCTCTGCCTCATTCTATTCCTCCAGTTCAGGGGCCCTTGCTATGGAGAATGAACCTGCTGTTACTTGGAAGACGCATATTCGAAGCCAAACTGAGATCAAGTAAGACTATGCTACATTCAGTGCAATAAGCAAGAGTCCCAGCCCATAGGGGAGTGTCTATCCCAATTTTAACAGGCCGTATTTAGTAAAAGGTGGCTATTATTTTTTGGGCTCCACCAGAAGCAGATTCTGAGATGATAATTTAAATGGAATAGTTTGTTCTGAAATTAATTCTCAGAAACACTGGTAGGAAAGGGGGAAAGTGAGACAAAAAGAGAAGGGAGCTAATAAAGTACATTATCAAATCTATTATCACTGTGAACGATGCGGGCTCAGTCCCACTAGGGAGCTTCAGGAGACAGTGCAGAGTGAGCCTCATCGTTACAAACCGAGAAGCAAAGAAGCTGAGGCACTTATCCAACCACTCTACATCTGTTGTTGGTTAAAAGCTGCTTCTAGGTCCACTGACCCCCAGCACTTCCAGGTTGCCCTGCATGCAGACCTGGCATGCTCGCTGGCCAGAAAAGTATACAAAGCTGTCAGGCAGAGTCTCCCGTGTTCATCCATGAAGCCAAGGGAGGCAAGAGGGCACCAAGAGTGCTACACAGGACAACTCGCCCTAACCTGTTAATTTGCTTTGAAACGCGCTGACATGGTAGGACTCTTAACAGGTAATGAACCTTGACACACTAAAGTCTCTACTTGCAGTAAACAAAAGAGAATGCATTTATCCCACAGTGTTTTTCTTTGAAACTTTGTCAAAATAGAACACACGATGGTCGAGGGAGGGGTGCATTTTCTCACCAGATAAAAAGAAATGGAAAGGGGACCTAAGTTTTTTGTCATGGGGACGGTCAAAGTTTTGAGGGGCTGTTTATACAAACAAAAACTTCAACTTTTTAAACAACCAATTATGACTCACTTGCCCAAACCCCCAAAAGAAAAACAGTGGAACAAGCAAACAAAGGCTCTGAAGAATGAACTGTGGATATTCATCTGGCATCACAGAATGTGGCAAAATTCTGAAAGGAAAAATAGGTTTATGCTTCATTATAAATCACCCCAGAAACCTTCATAACGACTTCTCACATTTTCTTCTTGTAAAGCAGGGGTCTTGAGTCTTAAATAAGTTTTTAATCAGATTCAGATTTCAGTACCACAAGGAAGAACGCCTAAATTTCTTGAGCCAAAAATGTTCATTAAACAACCATTTCTTTGAGCACCTTTTATGGTGTTTACATTGGAGATACAAAGATGAATAAGGCGGTACCTACATAAAAGGCCATAAGCTTTATACTATTCATAGTAACTATGGCCCATAGGTAATTTTCCTATAAAGAGTAAAGAAGGGAAATGAGAGGCCAGATGAAGGAAAGCCTTTCCAAGTATTTTGGGCAGAACAGAGAAGGCAGATGTTCTAGTGAAAAAATGTATTGCAGGAAAGAGAAAAGCCAAAATCAAATTTAGGAGAAAATGGGGTGTAACCACATAAAATAATATTATATATAATGACATGTTAGACTCACTGGATCTGGAGCCACAGGAAGGAGCTATCTGACCAGATGGGCAAGTGCACATATTTGGCCTCGAACAAAATCCATCCCCACAGGAATGCCGGCAAATGGCTGTGAATAAAACCAGAGGTCTTTTAGCACATGGATTCAGAGCACAATTAGTTATAGGAAACTGATCCTCAAATGAGGAAGCCTGGGTTCTCAGGTCCCTCACAAACTTTGCTATCATGACTTATATGACCTTAAGCCGTAGGTGTACTCATTTTCAAAACAAGTCTATTGAACTACATAAACTCTGGCTTTAAAATCCACAACTCATTTATCCAATAATAGTGGTTCTCAACCTCTCTTTGCTTAGTCTGCAGCACTCTATCCATCAAAAGCCAGGATAGGCTACGAAAACAAAACCAAACAAACAAATAAAAATCCTGCATCTATACGTATTTATATGATCATAAGAAATACATGACTATATTGACTTTCAGATTTAATGATATAAAAATTACATCATTACTCTTGAAGCCAATTTTACTGCAAATGTTAAATGTTTAATTTTCATCCTGTTCTGAATGACATCAACAGTCTGAGAGCAGAATGCTGGAATCTACTGTCAGAGTACTGATTCTATAGTCAGGAAGCCATTCATCCTTTAGAGAAATATTAACATTTTCATACCACCCAGAGACTTATATCATGCTGGTACCAAATGCCCTGCTAGTGGCCAAAACATTAAGTTTGAATGGCATACGGTTTATATTTATCAGCAGCCTAGGACTTGGTCACTACTTTTTATCATCATAGGCATGATCCTTTCCTCAAGCTCCTGCACAACCTTGCAAGTGCAAATGTGATGTGCGAAGCTAAAAGAGTACACTTGACAGAAAGTGCATGCAAACATCCAAAGAGATTAGCATAGAGGCTGGAATGACAAGAAATAAGCTCTCAAAGGATCCTACAAACATTTATTTAAATACCTGAAGACATCAGAGAACTCTAGAGAAGGCTAGGAAAGTGTTCTATTGTAAAGTTCATTGAGAAAATGCAAATACCATTATATTTCTCTTTTAGTGATTCAGTTTTGGTCTTAAACCATAATGTGTCAAATAAAGGAGATGCTTTCTGGTCAAAACCGAGAATTGAGAGAGTTTAACTTTTTCAGTTCACAAAGCAAACACTGTGTACTATAGTCTATTCTTCTCCACTGACCACTCTCAGCCAAGTGTGAAGGTGAACTAATGATTCTTTAATGTCCCTTCAGCTCTAAATTTCCCCATTATACTAATGGAGTTTTCTGAAAACTGAACATTATTTCATAGATACAACAACTGTGAAAGCTCATGAAAGGCACATATTATGACTAAATTTGACTTTGGTGTCTCCATTAAATAACACCTTGTCTGGCATGTGATTTATCACACAACATTTGTGGGATATTGGAGAAATCTGAAGGTTTGCCTCACCAGCAGAAATCAATAGAGGAACCTCTGTTATCATTTGAGATCTTTCTTAGTCTTTCCACAGATCTTCCTCTGGTGCTCTCTCTCCTCCCTTTCCCTTTTGTCCAAGAGTTAGGTCTGCTCTTGGCCCCCTCAGTCATCCAAATTCAATGTACACAGTTTAGGTAGGCCCATGGGTGGCCAACAAAGTTAGAAATTACAATCAGAAAATCAGCAATAATATCCTTTCATTCAAACTCCTATCAAACTGATTGTACAGTCTATATCGCCAGGCCCATCATATGTAAATGATACACAACCTGGAGCAAAGAATCCCTGTGACTAAACTTTGACAGGGTTTTGACCAAGTTGATCTATTTCCCAACCTGGATTCAGAGAAAGTAGAAAAATCTTAAAGCCAGAAGCCTCTACTTTAAACAAATTCATGGTACAGTTACAAAGGGCCAAATTTTAAGGCTCCCCATGCAACCAACAAAACAAAAGAAGGACATGCAGAATGACAGGTTATTTACTTACGGACAATACACTGATTTCCACCAGGTAAGGTTTTCCAACCAGGGCAACAGTAGGCATTATAACGTGATCCACAGACATTGGGTCTAAAACAAAAACAGAAGAATTCCATACTTAAAAGAAGAAGAAGAAGAAGAAGAAGAAGAGATGACCAAATAAAAGGGGAAAAAATCCTAGTTATAAAAACAGGATGAATCCTGGCAGACAGATAAAAAACTCATGAGACTCAATGCTGGGTTATAGTAGTTTGGGACACTTACATAGTGATATCAACAGGGACATCCCTTAATATCACCTATGCATGTGGCCCATCAGGGAAATAAAAACCAGAAATACAGAATGTAGTACATTCTATCATAATTCATGAAGTCATACAAGTCTTAAATTAGACAATAAACTTAAATCAAACAATAAATTTCTTACCAATATGGTTAAGAAAGGTGGTAACAAAATCTAATGCACACAAGACTTTAAATTTCAACTCTTTGAAACTATTTTTTTTTCTATGGCCCATCTTACCTCTATAATGTTACACATTCTTCCTTTCACTAAAACTATAGGAATGCAAACTCTGACATGAGACAGAAAAAATGAAGGCCAAAACATGTAAATATTTATTTAGCAAAAGTTTGGAAACAGGCTGGACGCAGTGGCTCATGCCTGTAATCCTGGCCAACATGGTGAATACAAAAATTAGCTGGGCATGGTGGCATGCACCTGCAGTCCCAGCTACTTGGCAGGCTGAGGCAGGGGAATTGCTTGAACCCAGGAGGTGGAGGCTGCAGTGAGCTGAGATCACACCACTACACTCCAGCCTGGGTGACACAGAGTGAGACTCTGTCCCAAAAAAAAAGTTTGGAAACACACTTGATACCAGTTACAAGAAAATAAAATCAGTGTCACTCTGGGTTTCTTGTTTACAGACAGCGCATCACATCCTGGAGTAGAAACTCCATTCAGAATCCAGATGATCCACATTTAACAACTTCAGGGAGCAACTGAGTAAAGATACTGTGACTTCTACACTGGAAACTAAGACAGAGGATATAATACACACAGACCTAAAAGCAACCATTAGTTTTACTTTGCCATATCATGAGGGCCTAACCATTGATGCTAGTTGCTGGAGATCAGGGGCTGATAAGGAAGGTCACATGTTTTGCAATCAATTTCACAAACTAGGAACAATTCCAAAGCTTGCTGGTATTAACACTGTAACCCCCAAAGCATAAGCCTTTAAAAACAACTGTATAGTTAAAATGTATTTTCAGTTAGGATGCACTCCCACATTCTCTTTGTATATGTCCACAATATGAAACAGTACAGAGCCCTCCCACATTCCCTCTGAACTCACTACTTCAACCTCATGCAGGATTGGGAACCAACGTAAGGTCTCTGCTCTGTCCTTTACTCCTTTTGTTGCTCCAAAAAACTGGAACACCCTGCAGGGCACCATGCATACTTCACACTGACTGATGAGTCAGAAAGGGAATTAGGAAGAAACCTGGAGGGGCCAAGCAAAGGGCCCTAACTCCATACCCAGCAGCCCAGGCCTTCTCTGAGACTAGAGAGAAAATGATTGAATAGAGGCGAAATATGTGCATGATGTTAGAGCCTGTGTGAGCTCCGTTTATTGCTGTGTACAATGGCATGATGAAATGTCTGCCTTGTGTACATCATGGATGTATATATGTCAAATAATAGGCCTGAAAGCTTCATATATGAAAAAAGACAATGAAAATGCAATGCAGCATTATTATCCTGATGGAATCATCTTCTGACCTAAGTTACTTAGCCAATGGAACCATAAGGAATAATGGAAGAGAGAAAGATGTTATTGAGAATTTTAAGTCAAAGGCTCTCAACCCTTTGTCCCCATGACAAAGTAATGCCTGAAACTTCAGGGTGTCCAGAAGTTCCTGGGGAAATTCAAATTCTTGGAAAGGGAAATGAGAGAGGAAGTCAGGGTAGAGAGCCGGGGTAGAGGGGAACACTCAAACCTTCCAAACTCTTATTGTAAAAGTTCTCTCAATCTGAAATTGACAATTCAGGCCAAAGTCAACCACCTCAAACCTTCTCCAGCAACAGCTCATTAGAACAGCTCTGCTGGAGATAGTCCATTCCCTACCAGACCCTGGAATAGTGTCAGAGCACCCCTGAGCCTTTGCAGGGTGCCCTGGGTTGACATAACAATGTTTGGTGAGTGTGTGTGTGTGTATTTTTTAACTACAATCATACATTGTCTGACATAATGTGTCATAGACATCGTGTTTGGCAAAAATGAATGTATTTATGTAGTAACACATATACAAGATGAAGAGGCTAAGAAACAAAGGGTCCAGAATGACTATTTCAGTCCTACAAAGCCAAATATTCTAAAGATTTTCCAAGGTATTAAGCATGCTAATATAAACATTCTTTTTAAAAATGTTTAGAATCAATCTACAGCTAAAATATGGAAAATTTTACAATTTACTAGAGTTACAAAAGAAATGTACATGCTGTAAACATTCCCAAGTGTAAAAGCAATGGTACAGATGACATAACTTAGGAAACAATTTGGGAGGAAAGGTGTGGCAGTCAATAAAGCAGCTGATCCTAGAAAAAGAGTCTTAAATATATGACACTGTGTTTAAAAATAACCAATAAATAAAAGTAATACTACAACTATTTTTTAAAGCTGTGAAGAAGAAGAGAGAAAAAGGGTACAGATATTTTGGTGCGCTAAGTCCCCATCTTTCAAAGCAAGAAACCAATGGGTACCATTTAAGTCTAGATACAGAGGTACAAACATGGCAGACAGTGTTAGGGAGATGACTATGAGAAGAACAAAAACCAGAAAAGTTTCAACCTAGTTACCTTAAGAGATGAGAACCTGGGGAAGCAGAGGGACAGTTCTTTAGCTTTCCTACCTAATATTCATTTGCAACCGTTCATTTTAAAATATATGCTCTATTTCCATCACTGTCTTTCACTTAAAGCAATAACTCTACTTTCAAAGTATGAATATCTTATCTTTGAAACAAGATACTTCCTGTTTCATTCATTCATAATTCCCTTTAATTATGCATCACATTTTCATTTCACTGAATTCCTTAACGTTCTTTATAATTTTGTATTGGACTTACTTTATTTGCATGCTCTGACTTTCTATGAGTTTTAAAACTTTATCATTTACAAGTAATATGTTATTTAATTTGAGTTGTTTCAACCAATACCTTCAAATGACAATGATTGTTTTAATTGTGTTGCCATTCATTCTTAAATCATTCTAAATGCTATGCGATGTAGCTCAACGCAAAGTATTAGAAACATTTAAGATTTCTCCTCTGCTGCTTTGGTCTTGAGAAACTGCAAACTAATAGAACTCGCTCAAACAAGCTGTGTTTCATCTGTTCTACTTACACACAGAAAAAAGCAACTCTAATTCTGAAAACAAATGAGTGTCTTATTGAAGCTGGAAAGAACTAAAACACATAAACTCTAAAGGATACATTCTGGATTATTTCTGTAATAAAAGCTTTCATTCTGAAGTTTCAATACAAAATGCTTGTACAGAAGGTAAATTTTTAATAAAGTTACTCTTTTTGGTCAATGAAAGTATAGCATCCATACCTCTTTCTCTTTTCACTTCATCAGTCATCCCTACCAACCCCCATCGCTCTAACACAAACACACACAGTTAAAGCTCTGTGCAGGTAGCAATAACATTCAACAAGTTTAAAAGATTCAAATTCAAAGGGGAAAAAACTTTTCGTAAAGTGCTAAAGATACATTATTTTATCCTCATAGCAACTCTTTGAGGTAATTTTTATTGTTGTATGTTTTAACGCTAAAAAAAAAAAAACAAAAAGAAAAACAAACTATGGCTTAAGAAGGTTAAAAACCTGGCCTCCCATAGCTTAGACATGTGTAACAGAGATTTGAACTGAAGAAGTCCAACTCTAGAGTACACTCTCCGAACCCTATGCTAAGACAAAGGTGTACTTAGAGGACAAGATGACATTTCACTCAGTAGCATTCATAGTGACATAAGTAACACAAATCACAGAATGTCCATCAATATACCAAGGATAAAGTATCAACTGTTTTTGTTGTTGTTGTTGTTTTGTTTTTGAGACAGAGTCTTGCTCTGTCGCCAGGCTGGAGTGCAGTGGTGCAATCTCGGCTCACTGCAACCTCCGCCTCCTGGGTTCAAGCGATTCTTCCGCCTCAGCCTCCTGAATAGCTAGGACCACAGGCAGGTGCCACCACACCCGGCTAATTTTTGTATTTTTAGTAGAGACAGGGTTTCACCATGGCCAGGATGGTCTTGATCTCTTGACCTCACGATCCGCCCGCCTCTGCCTCCCAAAGTGCTGGGATTACAGGCATGAGCCCCCGTGCCCAGCCAGCATAAACTGTTTTTTAACTGTATTCCATAGTCTATAGGGGAAAAAGGGAAAATATCTTTTATTCCACTTCACAACTGTGTGCTACATTTTTTTAAAAAACAGCTAAGTCTATCTGTAACTTTTCTTACCAGTAACTTTGAATATTGTGCTCTGCAAGGACCTAACTCCAAACACCCTGGACGATGGGTGAGTCTCAGCAGGTTTGATATTTGGATTCAGTCAGACACAGCGCTCAGAGATCATGTGGACTGTCAAAAGCCTATCTCAATGAAGCAAACAGCTGGGCTCTACCACGTCTGACCACATCATCGCGAGACTTGGCCTCCATGCAAGCTGTCTGCACTGTGTCCACATTCCTTAGGCAGAGCCCACTTCCGCAAGTTTGCTGTCTTACAGCAAGATAGCCTTTCTGCTTCCTGTACAAAGTGCAAAATCCTTTCCAGAACAGGTTAAGGTAATAAAAAAAAAAAAAAGGTCAGGGGGTTCTTATTTCTTATATGTTAGTTTCTCAACATATATGTTAGTGATTAAGCTCTTGGGCAAGGAGAACACTAAGCAATAGGTAAGGGCGAACGAGGCTGACCCTACTCCATTAATTGCTCTTTTTTAACCTTTAAGGGAAAAAAGTATAATTTAGCCTCTGAAGTATAAATCTGGAGGAGCATCAAAAGGTATATGCCCTCACACAACAA